GTCCATAAATATAGGTTTAGTCAAACGAAATTGTTCGTACAAAAAATAGACGAAGCTTTCAAACAATATCACGCCACTGTGAATACCATATCAATTCATATAATTAGCTTTATTCATTATTATTCATAACTTAATAGAATCGATCATCGATTCGATAGACAGGATAGTGCATTTAACTTAGCTGGTTATTTTCAGTGTCAGCCACATTTAATTTAGGCCTAATTATGTTTTATGTTCACGAGTAATGTGGGTTTAATGGATAATTTTCCGTCGCGCTTGAACGATAGCGTTTCTAAAGTGGGCCTAAAACATTTACTTAACGATTGTAGGCCAAATTATTTTCATAAGCTAAACTCAATTAACACGATCAGTTTACAGTATTGGCATGCTAAAACTAAAACGACCATAGGCCTATATAATACTATAGTTTAAGCTTTGGTTAAGTGAAATAAAATTAATAATAGTTATAGTAATATATTATATATAAATGTATATAAGCACTTTTTCCCAAAAGACTACAAAAGCGCTGGAAAATTCCCCTGATCACTCTATACATGGCAAAATGTTTATTCCGTCATGGTTATTCTACATTTTCTAGTCGATGTTTTTGTTTGTACACTGAGTGTTGTTAATATAGATAATAATTAATAGACCTCGATGATTTTCGGAGGCGAATAATAGTAAATTTTATATATATCAACGGTAGGCCTATATGATATACTGTACATCTAGGACTAAAGATTCGATACAATCTCTATAATAAAAGCAATAATTTTCATTATCTTTATGTCTGATAATATATTGAGCGTGCAATTCATAAATAATTATCATCAAGAACTCACCTTCCTTCTTTTTGATCTTCCCTCTGCTTGTAATGTTTTCGTACAAAGTTCAACACACTCCGCAAAGCTTATGTCATCTCCAGACTCTGTAGTGTAATTTAAATCTGCCAGGCGAGAAAGTGCCAGTATATAACAACATGCTATTTTTAAGATGGCAAGTTTGGATAGTTTCTGGTTATGAGAATATGATGGTACGGCTCTGCGCAGTCCTTCAAACGCGGCACTGATTGTATGTACGCGATTCCTTTCTCTTGCGTTGGCCACAATTCGTCTAGAACGACTTAAGTTTTTGTAAGAACGAGTGTGTTTTTTCCTTCCTGCCTTCACAGGTGTACCGTCCCCGCTAAAAGAGTAATCGATCGGTGAATCTTGTTGTAATTCAGTCGGGCTTGGACTAGGACTGGGGCTGGGGAAAGGATTCCCTTGGATTGGTGTGTGCGTCTTCATAGAAGAAGCCATCGAATAACTAAGTTCATTATCAGAATCGTCCTGCTCTGAGCACGACCGTCCTTGGGACTCTGTGTGGTCTATATCTACTGTGACTGGCTTGTTACTATCCGAGGTGTTAATTCGTTTAGGCTCTCTCTGCTTCCGTTTATTCCTCCTACTTGATCCAGATTTTATCTGCCTAGGCAAATTCATCTCGTCCGGTGATCCCCACCCAGTTTCAAGCAACTGTTCCTCCGCGTGTGCAGCATGGTCCCGTGTTGACCTGGTCTCTGTTCCGCTCATGGGTACAGGGATATTTATACCAAGCGACAAATCAAAATAGCGCTTTGTTCCAGAGTCAAGGAGAGAATTCGTATATTCTGTTCAGTGTAAAGTGTTTGTGGTAAAAGCTACGCTTGAGCGCTGTTGTCTTTGAATGCGCCCAGATGTTCAGTAGTCAAGCTCGATTAATCGCATGTATAGACGATGAATAAGAGCGTCGGGCGAAGATCTGTTTCTCTCTAGTTGATTAAACGATTGTTATCGAAAGGCTTAGCAGCGCACAAAAATTACAACCTCAAATTAAAATCGCTATATGCCTGTTAACTGTTGCCTTGTCGATCGTGTTTCACAGCTACGCTTCTCCCGGGTGCTGGCCAGCCGTTTTTATTTATTCAGCCCAGCGAAATTAACCTCACACCTGGCCCGTACAAACGACAGCGTTCTAACCACCCGGCTACTTAGCGCTTCTCGTAACAAGGCGTTCGAATTTCAATATTATTTCCCAAGCGATGGTCCCCGTTTTCCCGCAATCCACCTATGTGATATTCCTCATCAATATTTCTCGATATGCACTTTATCCATACAGGGAAAAAAAATACAGCTCGATCTGGATAACGTGTAAATTATTCTAATTATCAAATGCGTATAGCTGTAAGCTGTTTCTCTTCCGTGTGCTCGTCTAATCATTTGTGGCAAACCGTTATGCTTAAAAGCAGCCTCCGTCTCCCAATGAAGGATTATTACCTATCGCAGAGCGTGTTTACAACCACCACCTGTGCTCTTGCTAATCAGTAAGAATTATTCACAAAGGACGTGTAATATTGGCCAATATTTGGAGTCGCCTATGTAAACAGCAGAGCCAGGTTGTGGCGAAGTATTGAATTCACTGCTTAATCGATGGGCACAGCGATTTTTTAATAAACCACTTCTCTTTTGGCCGTTACGGATCTTAAACAAGATCTCATCATTATTGACGATAACGCAAACTCATTTTGGCTGGCGGGCAATCAATGCTGAGCATATTGTGATCGACTAGCGAACTGTCAATTCATTAGGCATATTTTAAATTCAGATGCTAACATAATGATCGTCTGACGAGATGATTAGTGTTAATAATTATAAATTATATATCTTTACCACCGTCTGAACAGGCTGAAATTCGTTACCACCTTCGTAACAAGTTAAGTGATAAGTTGACGGTATCTTTAAGCATTACAACAAACCCATTTTAAATACTGCAATAGAATACCCTTCTAAATGTCGTATCATTTTATGTACATGTTTTACACTGTCTCTTATACACATCTAGATGTGTATAAGAGACAGGTTATTCATATTGCATTATACTGTAATTATGTTCGTGTATCTTGCACTTTATTTATTCATTGAGGAATAAGCATACTGTACCCTGTGTATATATAACACATGTTTCCATGATTTCTATAGACGGGTTTTTTCTATTAGGCCTAGACTTAATCTGCAAATCTAATGCGGCCCGGTACTTCAAATGACACACCAACATGTAAGGTCTCTCCTATTTTACCGGTATTTACAGACACGATTACGATTATGTGTCTCATTAATACTAAGGACATAATATGATTACAATACAGCAGGGGATACAGGTAGGCCCAGTGTATTTCCATAGACAATGCATATACTTTTCACATTATTCAATTTATAGGCATATTATTATTTAACATAGAATGAACGTTACTCTGAATAATAAGAGGGAGGCAATGATTTCCTCCCATTATTTGAACGTTCATTCGATGTTATTTATATCCATGCATATGTTGCTATTTATATATTGCATGTAGTAGCATACAGGATCGCGTGGTTCATACCTCCATGGTTAAATATATTTCACATTCATCATCATAGTCATGAGCTAAACCCTGAACATTTTCAAGGGTTCCACCACCCCCACCTCCCAGAACAAAGACGAAGCGAAATAGATCGACTTGAATCGTCAAATTCTACATTTTCCAAATGGTATTATCAATTACTACTGCTGGGCCTGCGGTTTGTTTTCCTTAATAAATAAACCCATATTAATCGCCCAAGAATGGTCGTTTCAACATCACCTGGGGAACACGTTTACGAGTGCCTGAAATGAATGTCATTTTTATCCGCTATTAATGAGCCCATTTCCGACTTGTATATCCTATCGTATTTGAATGAAATGTGCTGGAAAAATACTTAATCAAAATGTACCCAAATAATGAATCGAATATTAGATATCATTATAAAGATGATTCATAGTTTAAATAAGAGGCCATCATCATCATTACCGTCGTTATAATAAATATCATTATTATCATCGTCATCATTATGATCAATATCACCATCTTGAAATCATCAACAATATTATTTTAGGCCTATTTTTTCGATTCAATATTCAAGAGGCCTGAATATCTTATGTCCTTCAGTAGGCCTGTACTGCGAGACCAGGCGAATTATACTATCGTACAATGTAAAATAGGACTATGTTAACAAGATAATAAAAACAATACGGTACCGTACCGTACCATTAGCATATACCAGGCCTACTAACACATATTATAATATCATTATATAAACCGGCACTTTTAATGAACCAGATGGAATCAATCATTAAATTATATTTTCGTTATTATTTTGTTTCTATTTGACTCCTATTAAATTATTAATTATTTCAAGTGAAAATAACAGCCGATGCATACATAAAACGCTTACTGAGTAGGCTAGTGGTGCATTATGGAAAGCATCCGGAGTATAGTCTTTTTAGTGTTACTGTCGGTGATTTTATAAACATTAAGGGTTCGAAACTGCAATTAACGTCACTCTATTTCATACGGTATTACAAGTGCGTTTGGAAAGACAACGTGGCTTGCTTTTCTCATTAGTGTGTCAGCTCTCAGAATGACAAGCGCAGAGTTTCAGAATAGTTATTAAAAAAAATATCTGCATGAACGATAAAGTCCTGACCAGACTATCAAATTATATTTGACACAAACATGTGACATGCCTAAATATGGTCATGATGACATCACATCATGACCATATATAGGCACATCATGACTATATATGGGCATACAACAGTTTTTGTCAAAGAAAATTTGATAATTTGGACAAAGCTTATGCTTATTGTTATAGAAGGCTTAGTTCCTCGTTTCCGATTTTCATTATTGAAAAAAAACATGCGCTTTCCATATAAATAAGTGAGGCAGACCTAAACTAGTTAAACCTCTGTTAAAAAAGTAACAGAGCTTAGCATAAAAGCGTATATGAGATACACAAATAAATATCTGCACAATAACTTTTCTAGATTTTGATACAGAACAACATGCTAGGCCTACTGTTATGTGTGCCTACACCGGACAATAAGAAAATGGAACAAAAAGCTTGTGAGCTACAGCGATTTTAATTGCTTTTGTTAATCCTTGCCTCCTTAGATTTACCAAGTAATTTCCGTTTTGGTTATTTTTTGCCTTATTTTACTGTGTACCAATTGTATTGTGATTTTTATGAAAGGCTAAATACTGATGTGAAACGAAATGAGAGCTATATTACCATTGCTGTTAAATACTCCCGAATGTTTGTAAAGGTGGTTTTTGTTTGTTCGTATCTTTAGCTTACAACTGTTGTCTTTCGAAAAATGTCTTGATATTTTTTTTTATTGTAGTTTCAATCAATTTAAATGTGCTATTATTGACCTTATTTAATTTTATTGCGGGTTTTTGTCTGTACTATAATTCTAATTGTTTTTATTGAGCTTTATTGTTATCTTTCTATTTTGCTTTTATATACCGGTAATCGTTTTAAATTTTAAATTATGATCATACATTGTATCCCTTTATATTTTATTTCCATTGTATTGGTGCTTTACACTGTCGGATGCAATAAAGAAATAAAAGGTTGACGTATGTCCCGGTACACTAATTACCTCCGTAATTAACAATAACAGTAAGTGCTAATTAAGTTGTTACTGAAAATAATGTACATGTGCTATGGTAACGCAGCTTTGTTTGTAGAATAAAACGATCGATTCAAGATAAGTGTGAGGTGAAATCTGAAAAACCCTAAATTTAAGCATAGAGAAAATAACAGTAGCTTTTGTTACACCACCAGTCTAGCTATTGTTACACCACCAATGTTACACAAATTCTCTGATGGATCCTGTCCTAATCAAATCCATCCATACACTATTACACTATACCATTGGGACACTTTGCAAAGCTGTGTGAATTCACCACTCTTCCAGCAAAATTTGGCCGGTTTGCCAAATTATGGATCCAATGACGGGGTAATAATGATTATTATTATTAGTAGTAAAAAAAAAAAAAAAAAAAAAAAAAAAAAAAAGACCCTTGGCAAAAAACGCGGTATAAATCCCTAATCTGCATACACATTAAGTATGTATAATTGTGTCTTTTCAGCATAACTGGTGTTAATAACCTTAAAAAGGCAATTGAGGCAATAGGTTAAACCCCGCCTAAAACTGGGAGTTTATCTAAAAGAATAGAATAGGCCTACTTACTTTTCAACTTCCATTAAGAAACATCGGATATTTTAGGGCTTAGTTATTTTAGCGTCTCTGCTTATCCATCTTACTATCATATCAAGTGGCAATAATAATCATGGTTTAGGGAGAGTAATTAATAGTCCGTATTGCTAGTAACTATACGGTATTACATCTTTATTGTAATTACACCGTTTCATTGTTTGATAAGTAAATAAAATAAATCAAGCAAAAGGCCGTTATTTGTGTGAAATCACCCTTCTTGCAAAAATGTTTGGCGTAGACGCAAAATGCGATAAAGCCATACTTTCAAGATTGCAAAAACCATTGATCGGGCACCAACTGTATTTATAGACCTAATCCAGATTTAAAGTGAAATAATAATTCCGAATGCATAAATTAATATAGTTGCCGTACTCCAAAGCACTGTTAACGCATGCGTAAAATGTGACAATTGAACACAATGCATACATCATGCTGAAATTAAATCGAGACATCAAGCTGATATTGGGAGCCAGCCTTTTGCCAAGATTCGTCTTTAAATAGATGGAAAGCAATCTAAAGCCACCTGTCTATTTCCAAAGAACGAGCAACGACGGCATACAGCGGCCGTTTCTGAGTGCACGTCTATTGTATTCACTCTTTCACTCCGTTATTAATATTGTAAAATACCAATGTGTCGGTTTCGTTTTCGTACGTGAACGCGTACCGATAAATTTTATGAGGATATTTGTAACTTCGTATCAGCCTATAGGCCTATATGTAACATTGTATAGCATTATCATCATCATCATCATCATCATCATCATCATCATCATCATCATCATCATCATCATCATTACTACCACCACCATCATTATCATCAATAATCTTCATACACTAATTACTAATAACGACATCGCCACCAAAATCATTTTCATTTACCAGAAACCTCCTATCCTGGCCTCAGTGGTGTATCTAACCGGGGGGAGTGGGCGCACACACACGCCCTCCAAAACTTACTCGCCCCCTAACATAGTTGCCCCAAAACCACGGTCAAGTAGTTAAAAATCACCTAAAATCACATTATTATGCGAATTAATGCCCTCAATCGATCATTAATCCCCCTTTCAACTTGCCCCCCTCAGCACCAACATTTCAGGACTTCTAGATACGCCACTGCCTGGCCTATGCTAGATTTAACGCACTTAGGTTTACATTCTTTCTTAAAAAGTATCGATATTAAATCACTGCCGTAGATTTATGAAAATAAGGGATACGGAGATGACATTTTTAGGCGTAGACTATAAACAGATGCTAAATGATGATGGCGAGCGACGATCAGACAAAGTTAAATTGCAACATGCATAAAATGACATTTGATGTCAACACAAGTGACAATTG